CGCTTCACCCCTGGAAGCATCGACCGCATGTCTTCTGGGCATTGCGTACTTGGGAGAAGAACCTAAATTCCTTTCTAAGACCTCGCATTTTTGCTGCAGTTCAAGAACTGTGAGCTAGCATGCCGGCGAGTCGACGTGACGAGCTGGACAGACTGTGGCGATACACTGCTGCGAAAAGAGTCGAAAACAACGCTGCCTTGCGTTGCATAACGACTGACGGAGTTCGTTTCTCAAAAGAATTGGCACTGACCAAGTTCGTTTCTGACATCGACACTTCTGATGTTTTGCGCTAGCCTCCGCCTTCAGTGTTGCAAATATATACTCACTGTTCGTGCGAGTTGACCGGAGCTCAGGTCCTGCCTGGAGCTCACTCTACATCTCTGCGTGAGAGAAAAAAAGCGTGTCTCACCTCTTCTTGCTTTACATCCTGCTAACACTGCCCGCCGTGGTCGGGATAAGACCACTTGATAGCTTTGATGGTCGTTTCGAGTGTGTTACGTTTTGAAGGTCGCATGTGGATCTGATGGCAAAATCCAGAGCCTCCAAACATCTCTCTCCGCCTCCTTCTCTCTCTCTCTCTCCTCTTCCCTCTCTTCCCTCTCTTCCCTCTCTTCCCTCTCTTCCCTCTCTTCCCTCTCTTCCCTCTCGTCCCTCTCGTCCCTCTCGTCCCTCTCGTCCCTCTCGTCCCTCTCGTCCCTCTCGTCCCTCTCGTCCCTCTCGTCCCTCTCGTCCCTCTCGTCCCTCTCGTCCCTCGTCCCTCTCGTCCCTCTCATCCTTGTTCATCACATCATCAGACACTTTATCACACACCCACACACACACACACGCACGCCATCTTACCACACACACACCTCCTCCCTCCCCTCCTTCTCATCCTCGCCCATCACATCATCACTTATACTGCACGTCTGAGCATAACCGCCTCATATACCTTCTCTCCTCACACTTCGTTCTTGACTTTTCATCTCACTACTCCGTCTCCCATGTGATGTTCATATACGTTTGAAATTTGTAAAACTTATCATGCGGGGTTATCCGGTCCTTTTATTTTTACTGTTTTTACCGTGCGGGTGCTTCGGTTAAGTTATACTGAAACTTGAAACGCAAGCAACTTGGACACAAGAACCAACATACATTTGATCGCGCGAATCCTTTAAAAGGGAAACCAGAAAACATGCACCGCAAAATATATAAATTGAACCGCGCAAATTTTACGACGCATACATCATCACCTGAGAGTTTACCCAATCCCCACCAAAAATATTTCAACCGCTTGTGCCGCGCAGGTAATAAAGAAAAACAAGTCTTTTGTCATTTTGTTATCACCACCTTGATCACCGCCATCACCTCTCTGGACCCCAATGCGACTAGATCTTTAGACTTTCTGCTTATAGACCTCACACACACAGTTTGGGGCCTCTTGCCGGGATCTTTTTTTAAACCGGGGAGTCGCCCTTTTTCTTTTACCATCCGCGCGGCCAAAACATGTAAAAATACACCCTTTATCTTTTACCATCCGCGATGAAAAAAAGGTCAAATCATCTGTGTGTAACCCTCCCCACTCCCCTTGCACCTGCAGGTACCACCCTGCAAGGCTGGCAGGCCACCACCCAAACCAAGTGGCACCATTGCAAGCTGCAGACGACATTTCAACTTTACCCCACCTGCTCAGGGTCATCCGCCCACTGTCCTTGAGCCGCACGCGGCCATGGGGCTTGCAACACCAAGGTCGTGACAAGAAATCGTGACAACACCTCAGTCGCGACCGGCTTTGCAGCAGAAAACCGGGCGGCGCCGTGTTGAATCAGCCCACACATTGCGCACTCCAGTGTCGTGACTGCGTGTGAGTGATGCTCCCAGCTGACACGAATAGAACCCGAGCTCTTGCCGCACATGTGACAAGCGCTGCTTCATGCTGAGCGTCCTAAATGCAGCATAGGAATCGCTCCGGCTGCCCGTCAGCTGGGCGAACCGAAGCACAAAAGACCCGTGTTGCGGCAACTCTTCGCAGCGAAGCAACAACATTAATTGAGCCAACGCCTCAAACGCTGCAATGCAAGATTGCAGCGAAGAGCTCCCTGGGGAGCTGAACCAGCGTGGACATGAAACGCGGCATGCGCTCCAAGGTTGGTAAGCGCACTTCTCCCGGGATCTGACATGCACTTGCCTGCAGCCACGCGCTCGCCCCAAAGAAGACGAGCTTTCAGCTTTGGCCTCTCCACCGACCAGCTCCGCCCGGCGCGCAAGTCTTTGTTAATCAATTCCCAAGTGGTCACTGAGCATTTGCGTGCGCTCGCCCAAGGTTCGCGGCGCACCAACAGCTCCTGTTCAATATGAAATGGAAAGCAATGTGGCCACGATCACCAAAGTTCCCAAACTTCGGCGCATTGGACCACGCACAGCAACAGTGATGGTTTTGCCCTGTCCCACTAGTGCCCCTGTCAGCCCTCCCAACGAAGATGGAATCGCCAAGGCCAAGCGTGGAGATGTCGGGGCACTGGCTGAAGCTGTCTTCCAAAGTGCCCGCAGTACACCGCCATCCGGCTTGAGCTGACGAAGCAGGAAATGCTTTGCGAAACTGTCAAAGGTCGCATCATCTTTGAACTGAAATGCTTCCTGCGTCTTGTAGCCCAATTCCTTCAACTTGCCGCGCAGCATCCTGCTCCTCTACCTCATCCTCATCGCCGAACACGTCGTCCAACCGCCTCTTCATCACTTTCTGAGTCTGTAACTTGCTCCGGGCTCTGCAATTGTCTGAGAACCACGGCATCCTCCTCTAAAGCCACCAGCCCCCTGTTCAATGGTGTATAGATGGATACCGCCCACGGGCAAAAGCTTGGAATGACCGGCGCCGGCATCGACATCATCGCGCCCATATTTCTTGACGCTTATGCGCCCCTGCACCGCGCAAATCCTCTGGCAAGCCTAATTGAGCGGCCCTGCTCAAAGAAGCAGCCTTGGAGTGAAGCGCTCCACTTGGCGATCCAGCCGCCCATGCAACCGCAAGCACCTTCGCAGCTGGGCCAACATCGCTGCGTAACCTAACGGCTTGCCCCGTCGAGCTAACAGAAAATCCCGGTTGGGCTGTTGTTGCTTGCACTCATTCAACAGCCGACCAAAAGCAAACCCCAAGCTGCACCAGCAGCGCCGGAGGTCAGAACACCAAATGGCGTTCTGCAAACCGATGCTTTTGTTCGCCAGCACCACCCTCTAATCTGACCATCCTTCCTATAGAAGCCAAGCATCATCAGCCGCGGTGGGAAGCGCCCGTTCCAAAATCGCTTCCCACTGAGCGACTTTTGCTCACTTTCACAACGCAAGCCAGGCTTGCGTAACCCGGGATTCAATGTTACTCAACATGGGGTAGCCAAGCGCAGAAGCCACAAACTTCAGGGATTGCATTGTACCCTGTGCCCGGGAAACCCGCTGTGGAAGCTGAGAACTGGCGACTTTGTAGTACAACTTTAAGCGGAGTATCTGGGGAGCTGGAAGATGAGAACTGGCGATGTTGCAGTACAACTTTAGTACGCGGAGTATCTGGGGAGCTGGAAGATTCATCTCTCGCGGCTGCTCTGGCGCCCCTGCAGCTGAGTCATGTCTCCCGACCACCCGGCTCTCTTGAGAGGTTGACAAATTTTAGCTACTTTGCTTACTCATAAGTGGCTGCTACAAAAAGAGTCATCGTGACGTATGTGTGTACTTCACCTTCACGACAAACGATGTTCGCTTGGAATACACGAGTCGTGACGTCGTTTACTCTCAGGTCGCCCTGTTCGTGGAAACTTCAGTGTGAAATGTACGTTCTCCAGTTCTATTTGAACCTCTTCAGCGTTGTACTTGCGCAACTAAGGTTGACGTTGCGCTGCCGTTGCATCGACGCATCTACGTCCACACCCCCTCACCTCTCTACATTTACATCTTCACACGCTCACATCCGCAGATCTACCTCTCCACCTCACCACACCCACACATCTGCGCATCTATATCGCATCTGTACACCACACTGTCGCTCCTTCACATCTGTCCTGTCTTTCTTTCTTTCTTTCTTTCTTTCTTTCTATATTTCTTTCTATATATCTTTTCTCTCGTCTCTGTGCATTTACATCTTCGCACGCTCACATCCACTGATCTACCTCTCCACCTCCATACATCTACACATCTGTATCGCACCTGCGCATCCACACTGTCACTCCTTCACGTCCATCCTTTCTTTCTCTCTTTCTATATATCTTTTCCACAGTGCTGGACAATCACATGTCTCGCTCTCGGGCCACCCGTCGTCTAGTATTCCTTGTTTTTCTTGTGGTAGTGAAAAGGACGGTGAGGCCCTCGCGTTTTCATCTAAATGATGAATCCGAAGAGCCCTGTCCTACATTCAGGTTGAGGTTTGTCAACCCATTCCACTTGGATGTTGAGGTGTGGGGCTGCCTGTGGAGCTGGGGCTCAAGGAGTACGCGTTCCACCTGCTGCAGGTTGTTTACGCGGGACAGGTGGATCACTTAGGGCACAGGATGATGCTAAGTGGTTGACTCTGGCACGGCAGTTTGTATTGATTGCCAAAAGCGCCCGGGCGCATAGTGATGTGCTCCGGTCGTTGCCCCACTTGCATGGAGAGGGCTTGAACTTTCTGTCTGGAAACAGAGCGGCTGGCGCTTTATCGCGGCTTTTAAGTGCGTGGAAGCGATTGTGTAATTTTTGCAGGGTGCTCAATGTTGACAACCGCAGGTTTCTCAAGCTCGTGTGTTGGATTTTGCGCAAGCCTTGAATGCTGGTCGAATGGATCGTGGAGCTCCGCAGATTGCTCCGCGTGCTGAAGTTGTACTACAAAGTCGCCAGTTCTCATCTTCCAGCTCCCCAGAT